CACTGTTGTATTCTATTTTATTCTGTCGGTCATGATCTGTAGACAGCTCTCTCTCCTGTAAGATCTGTCTCCGTACAGCTGTCTGTCTCTCTCCTCCTGTAAGATCTGTCCCCATACAGCCCCCTGCGCAACTGTCTCTCCTACTGTAAGATGTCCCTGCACAGCGTTTTCTCTCTCTCTCTCTCTCCCCACTTATATGGTCTGTCCTTACACAGCTGTCTTAATTCCCTGCTCTAACAGCTGTGCCTCTCTCCTCCCTTGTAGGAGTTGCACCATAAGGGCCGTTACTGGCACTCGGACTGTTTCCGCTGTGCCAAGTGCTACAAGTCGCTGGCCGGTGAACCCTTCAGCGCCAAGGATGACAAGATTCTGTGTGGGAAGTGCAGCGCCCGCGAGGACTCGCCCCGCTGCCACGGCTGCTACAAGCCCATCCCGCCGGGTATGTCCGCCTGTTGGACCCAACCAACCACGCAGAAACACAGCTAAGCCAGACAGAGTCTGCAGTGGATCCCGGCAGAGCTCTGATTAGGAGGCGTTGAAGCGAGGGCTGAGGACAGGGTTCCTGGATCAAAGCCTGCACAGATGCACTAAGTGGCTGTGTTCCCATTTCAGATATACAGTGCTCACTGAAAGCCTTGGGAAACTTCTTTAATTCAGCACACACAGTGCAGATTTATTGGTTTTATACAAAATCATTATTTATTCTTGTATTTACAAAAAAACAATCCCATTAGAAACAAGTAGTTTTAAGTAAAACATTAATTTCAAGCAGTAATAAACTGAAACCCAAATTATAGTTCTGAAAGAGCTGTTCTGAGTTACAAAATTCATTGCAAGCCATTTCATTGGGTGCTTTTTTATTTAATATCACCTTTGCGGTAACAAAACCAAACATGTGTGTTTAAAATCCCTCTGGGAGCCAATGGCTACAATTACAATTAATAGCAAAATGGCAGGAATAGAACTGAAGGAGTCAGTCAAAAACATTATGACCCTTAAGAAAATGTCTCTGTGGGAGATTTGTGCGGATACGTTAAGCTGTGCTTGTCAGTGGAATTTTATGAAACCAAGAAATTTGCAACGTTTTTACAGAATTAAGCGAGCGTCCATAGACTCTCTGTGACCTCTGTAATTACGTGGGCGTAGACATGCAGGGGGACGCCTCAGGGACTCGGCTCTGAGCGGGCGCTCTCTTGCCAGGCTCCCAAAACGTGGAGTACAAGAACAACGTGTGGCATGAAGACTGCTTCACCTGCTACCAATGCAAGCAGCCCATCCACTCCCAAAGCTTCCTGACCAAGGGGGAGAACATCTACTGCTCCCCCTGCCACGAGAAGAAATTCGCCAAGCATTGCGTCCACTGCAAGCAGGTGCGGCGGCTGGGGGCCCCGGCCAGGGGGGGGGGCGGGCGTACCCTCGCTGGGGTTTGACACCTCCCGCTTCTCCGGTCCCTGCAGGCCATCACCTCCGGAGGCGTGACCTACCAGGACCAGCCCTGGCACTCCAAGTGCTTCGTGTGCCACAGCTGCCGCAAGCCGTTGGCCGGCAGCAGCTTCACCTCGCAGGACGAGCGCGTCTACTGTGTGGAGTGTTACAAGAGCTGCGTGGCCAAGAAGTGCGGCGGCTGCCAGAACCCCATCACAGGTCAGGGGGCGTGCATGCGTACGTACACGGAACCACACACACAGAACCACACACACAGATACACATACATACATACAGACACACAGACAGTGGGCAGGTCAAGAAACATTTTGCAGTTGTAGACCGTGTGCTGTGGTTCGGGTCTCGGGTCAGTCACACTGATTTCGGCGGGGCCTTGACAGGTGACCTCACGCCTGACCAGCCGTGGTTCCACCCACAGGGTTCGGCAAGGGGACCAACGTGGTGAACTACGAGGGCAGCTCCTGGCACGATTACTGCTTCAACTGCAAGAAGTGCTCTCTGTCACTGGCCAACAAGCGCTTCGTGGCCAAGGGTGACGCCCTCTATTGCCCCGACTGCGCCCAGAAGATGTGAGCGGCTCCCCCTGGTGGCGGCGGGGCCACCTGCGCCTGGGTCACCGGGAACACGCTCGTCAGAAAAATGATACTAAACGAGCGGTTAGTTTAGATTTCGGAGACAATCACTCAGCCCTGGCTTCTCTGTACATCTGCTAGTAATTCTAAGCTTTTGGTGAACAGCTCTTTTCTGTAATACGCAGTTTGGTCAATTTGACACAGTAATGATTATTATCTTTCATTTAGTGACATTATGCAGTAGCTGCTGGCTTTTTGACGCTTAGGCTTAATACCGGTGAAAGGAGGGACGCGGCTCAGTGATTTCAGTCATGATTCCTTACATCACGATCACTAAGTGCTGACATGTACTCAGCGGCATGTGCATGACTGCAGTAACTCGCTTGCAGAATCACCTCAGATAAACACTGACTTGGCAAAGGCCCTCTCCTATAGTGGGTATAGGTTAGCTGCATTTACAGCAACGTCTGCAATAACATTACATCTGTTCACCACATGAACACGCAGCTGCAAAAATAAAGGTGACCACTTGGGGAAAAAAAATGTATAGAGAGTTTTTCTGAGCGCCGACATTTCAATCAGAGAAGGACCCTCCCCCTGAAGGTGTCATTCCTTTATTCAGACATTTTTACATTTTTCATCAGTACAGTGGACATATTTTTACAGATGCACCCACACAGATTTAAACATTCTTTCAAATTCGGGGTCTCCCAGCCTGGGTGAGCATATTAATGTTTTTACAATGCAGTTACAGTGTCCAGCCAGATGGAGGCGCCGCTGCATGTTAAGTTTGAGAGCAGGCAGGGATGACGATGCCATTCCACTGTTAAATACACAGAGATACAGCTGGACGTCTCTACTGTACAGGGTCATCAGAACATCATTACATTAAATTATCAGCCAGTGGCCTCTCCTCACTGCATGCGGATCTGCATCACGCACGAAAACCTGAAGGTCCAATCAAGCGGCGGCGCTGCCCTCAGCAGACAAACCCAAACGGGATGCGGGACATACTCAGGCTCCCCAGTGGGACACACACATTGGCTCTGCTTAGTTACCGATCCTCTGTTGGTCTGGTTCCTTAGCATTTTGAGTGGAACATCCTGTCGAGCCAATCTGGTTAGAAAAGGCTAACTTGCAGAGAGCGGCGGTGGATGGGACTGTCTGAGGTTTGGAGGCCGTCCAGCGTAGCACTTAGAGAAAGAGGTTACGATAACATGTGTGGCGAAACCTGCCAGCTTACAGTCAGGCATAAACAACTCATGCTTCATAATTAGTAAGCAGGAAGGGTCATCATCCCTGCTGAATATAACGAGGGATATATTAACTCAATGGCAGACGCCCGGCAAGCAGGAATCTGGTCCTATGCAAGTTTGCACACAGGCACTGGGTTAGCCACCTAAAACCTGAAGGACCAGCTGGGCAGAGGGATGAGTGTGACCCTGTACCTGCCTGCGTGTGCGTGGGATTTATGGCCCGTATCCCCTCTTTGCCAGGCGTGAGCATGCTCAGTATAGCCGCTGGAGGTAAGGGGACACTGGAGATTAAAAGCAGAATGACTTATGAAATGATTCTGAAACGCTCAGCGACATGCAGGTTACAATGAGGGCTTCCAGCAAGCGCAGAGCAACAGGGGCCCCAGCCGGCAAGCCGGGCCCCAGCCGGCAAGCCGGGCCCCAGCCGGCAAGCCGGGCCCCAGCCGGCAAGCCGGGCCCCAGCCGGCAGAGACACCAGAGATCTGCTCACCCCATCTCTTCATGAATGACTTTTCAGCCTAACACTGATTAAATAAAACACCATAAATGTGAAATACACTTCAATATACAGTCACCCATAACACATTAATGAGAAAAGTTCATTTAACGTAAAAGGTTTACCACTGTAAGAAAATCAGCTCGTCTAGAGGTTTTTAGTACATAGTGAAATGGCACAAACCACTTGTGAAAGTCAGCATTGACATCCCCTGTGTGGTATTTGGCCACTTTAGTGTGAAACGTGCTTTTGGCGATTCTCAGGCCTTTCCTACCGCGGAGCTCTCTCACCGTGCAAACACCTGAACACGGGCTGCCCTCTTGTGGCCAACTATAAAAATGACATCATAAATTAACGTGGTAAAACAGTGTTGAGCCTGTGCAGATACTATGACTGTGCGTGGATCAGTCCTCAATTACTGTTGCTCAATTACGCTGAACCTATAAACTGGTTAAAGATTTAAAACCAGTGAAAACACACCTCCTGCTATCTCAAGACAAAACAAGATTCCAAACAGATAACATACGAAGGGTCGTCTCTCACTTACGCCGCCTTCCACTTTACCATGGTACATCAGTGTAAAGTGGCAGGATGTAAAGAACCTTCAGAAGCTGACTGTGCTGCTTCAGGCTTCTGCTCTGAGATTTAGCTGTAAGACACAGGAAGCAGCCAATCTCTGACATCCCCGTGAGGAAATGGTCCCGCCCACCCCGAGCCACCCGAATCCCTATTGGCCCGCGGCTGTTTACACGATTTTTCATATCGATAGGAATGACACTCAGTCCTAAAAGGTAACGTGAACCTTGGGTGGTGTATTCCAGCCGCACACTGTCGTCATTACATTTCTGTGGGGGGGGGGGGGGGGCACTAAGGTGGGCACCGCTGCCATCCTCGGCTGCTCCCTGAAAGCCTGCAGAAATACTAGTCAAATTTATTCACATTATCAAGAAGTCAAAATTTTCAATTGCTGGACTGTTGACTGCAAACCTAACAAATGACTTAAATTTCAAATAATGCCTGTATAAAGTGCATATTGACACAGAGAGACGTTTATCAGCATGGTAGCAGGATGTAATCAGAGCAGAGACCCAGTAACCCAACACCACACCAATCCCATCCAATCCCCAGAAGTCACAGGACTCCAGGCCACAGAGAAACCTCCTTCAAGCATGTCTATGCTGAAAACACCATCAGCCTAAATGGAGAAACCATTTGATTAAGTTGTTTTTGTATAATAATAATGATGTATTATAACAAGAATAATGCTAAAAACGAGAGCCATTTTCTGTTAGGATGTGACCGCGAGCGACGGCGAAAGTCAGGACAATTTTTTTCTTCCCTGAAGGTTTTTTTTTTTTATGTTGTTTTCTTAAAGAGGTGAAAAATGGCCGACCCCCGTGCCTCCGCTCCGCTCCCGCTTTGCTCCTCCGCTCCTCTGTGTACGTCTGTCCTGGTGAGGCGGCAGAGAGGTGGCACCAGAAGGCAGGAGTGCTGGAGTGCAAGAAACATGGGCCTGCAGGGGGCGCCGTGGAGTCACAGCTCTGAGGGGCAGAGAGAGGAGAGGCGAGGCAGGTTGGCCGGACGCCATTTTAGCTGTTCTGCAAATATCCTAAATCCTTCAAAGCAAATTGTGTGCAATCCAGCCATTTCCCATAAATACATAACCAGAGGGTGTGGCGCAGACACGGGGTGACAGATAGGGGGCGCTTTTAATGGGATGCATGTGCTCACAGCAATAACAGGGCATAACAAATAATGGCAATTAAGACAAAAATCACCCAAACACACGTATCAGGAAGCCAAAGAGTACCTGGCAGAAAGCCACATGCACTGCACACTCAGGGCTGGAATTATGAGGTTCCAGCTCCACCTAGAGGGCAACTAGCTACAATCAGGATCACGTCGTAATGGTCAGGCCTTTTGTAAGGGAGGGAGCACCATTCCACCACCGCAAGGAACAAGAAATTTACTAAACGAGGGGAGGCCATTCGGCCCATCAAGCTCGTTTGGGGATGCCCACGGTAAGCCCTCTTAAAACCTATAAAGGAGGAAGTTGAATGAGGAGTTGATAGGGGGGGGGAGCTGCTTAGGCAAATTCCTCATGCGGTCTCATAACTCCCAGTACTTTTCATTCAGTACACCGTTTGGAATGTTCCAGTGGAAACCAGCAGATTAATTAACTGGCAGACAAAATCCGACATGCGACTGCAAGTTTCCATAACTGGGAAGGATGTTTGTGCCCTGTACAGAGCTTCTGTGTGTATGCATCGTTCCTGTTGGGGGCGGGGGGGCGGTCATGTGCCGCCATGCAGAGCTGTCGCCCAAACTGCTTTTGTTCGGCCGGTTGCTGACTGCTGGTGCTAAATTTTGGATTCACCATCCAAAATTTGTCTTGGGGAGGGGGGGGGGGATTAAAAGGGAGTGCTTCCTGGGGCCCACACAACTTTAATTCCCCACTAGCTGCTCCTGAGGAGGTGGTGCCTTGAAAGGGACTGAGTTTAAAAGCACCGATAAGTCCCTTTAAAACCTATTATGACCAAGGGGGTGTTCCACAAAGCAGGATCTCTGAGTTAGCTGGGTTTAATTAAGCTAGAAGTCATGATTGTCCAATAGAAATGCTCCTTACCTAAACTCTTATTGGATGAACATCACTTCTAGCTTAAGTTAACCCTAAGCTATGTGAGATATCTTGCTTCGTGGAACACCCCCCTGGGGTAAGTGGGATGACATCCAGGTGCTCTGTGGACGTCTCCCCACCTAATACTTTTCATGAAGCCAGCGACACTGAGTAGTCAAACCTCAGGACACTGCATAAACCCCTACAGCCTTCAGTGATGCCGTTCGGCATGACACTGCATAAACCCCTACAGCCTTCAGTGATGCCCTTCGGCATGACACTGCATAAACCCCTACAGCCTTCAGTGATGCCCTTCGGCATGACACTGTATAAACCACTACAGCCTTCATCACTACACTGCTCAAACCCCTACAGCCTTCAGTGAAGCCTTTCGGCATGACACTGCATAAATCCCTACAGCCTTCACTGTGCATCCTATGAGCTCCCGGAGAAGCATGACATCTACTCAACTGTAGACCTGGAGACCTTTGCTACCCTCAACAGCATGTTGAGTGACACGGCAAAACCCTGACAGACCAGAGAGACAGTGCACCAGAAGGGCCGCCAAAATCAGACATGCTGTCCTGCAGGCCTTCGTGGAAATGATGACACAAAGGAATTTCCAGAGGATGAATCTGCAAGACCTGGCTTGACTTAGATGCAACAAAGTGATACTGGGCCCAAGTTAAACCTTTCACATCAGAGACATCCTGTCCAAACTCACTGTTGTGGTGACCATGTTATGCTACAAACCATCATTCCATCTCTTACTAACAGTTAAAGAAGTCATTATGGAAATGGCTCAGATTACCTAAAGAGATGATCTTCAGTCAATGTCAGGAGGGATAGTGATCTATACAATACCACAATATGATCTGGATATTGAACCCCTTATCCTCGTGGTAGGAACTCTGGACTTCCTGAGGGCCACCCCTATGACCATCCACTTTGAGACTGACTAGATCTTGGTGAAAGTCAAGAGCTACCATGTTCAGTGACCCCAGCAACACCATGCTTCAAACCCTACCACTGACTCCATCCATTACTCTACCCATTCCTGGCCATCGACCATCCCCTTTACAACGGCTGTTATTGCCCCTCCCCTTAATCAGCACCACCATTACTCACCAGACAAAGCCTCGACAGAATGGCTCGGGTTTAGAGCCCTGTCCTCGGGGGGGTCCTCGGCATTGCATACATCGCCCCCGATTACTGGCCAGGTCTTGGGATGCACACCCTTATCAATGAGTTCCTCAAAGCTCCAGGAGCCCACCCTGCACTTCTGAGTGGCCAGTGACCCATTGTTGGGTCCCTCCTCCATCTGCCGCATCTTGGGTGCTGGGCTGCGGGTGAACCGGGAAGAATGGAGAAATTCAGGGTCAGGCAGCATATACCTGCATCACGCGAAGTTAACCGGGATGACTTACAGCTCTCTCTCTGTTATTCAATCAATCAATCAATGACTTAGTATTCATCCATGTGCTGCACCCGCATGTCCTACTTAGGTTCGTAAGAGTCCAGAGCCTATCCCAGAAAATACAAGCACAAAGCAGGGAATAACCCAGGATAGGGCGCTAACTAATGGCAGAATGTGTGCACTTATCCTAATTTAAAAAACCAAACTCATTTTCACAGGAGCCTCTAGGGGGTGCCAAAACACTGCCAATCATGTTGTACTGATGCTCTTCAATGAATTCTGAGTGCTATTTAGATCCTAGATTCCTATAATTTCATCAATGGTTATAATTGTCTATACAGAGGATGCATACATTTCGAGTGAAGCTGACGACAGCCAGACCATATTACTTGGACTTGACCTGAACCCGAACTTGAACCTGATTCTACAAACCTTCCTCAGTCCATCCTAGTTCATTGCACGTCTGCAGCCCCTGATTCCTTATCAGCTTCAGTGTTTTCCCAACATTGCACATGCAGCCTAATCACATCTACTAAGTCCAAAATGGAAAATAAAATCATTTTGAATAAATAAACCATAAGGAGTTTCTGTGCAAGACAATGAGTAAAAAGCACATTGCAGAATATAAAATACTGCAAAATTCCTATAAATATCTGGAAAGGGAACAAAGACGGGTACGCAAGTTTATCGAGAGGCGATGACTGGTCTAGCCAAAGTGAACATGCAAACTGCACACCGATGGGCCCACGGTGGAGACCCGGACCTGGGCCCAGAGGAGGAAGGCAACAGCGCCAATCTCTGGGCCACAGCGCTGACCAACTAGCAAACCAATCATCTTATAATTATTGTTGCACTTTATTAATCCCCATGTTGAAAATTCACTTTATCACATTGTCCACAGGTGATACTGAAGGTTGGGTTCAGATCACAGGGTCAGTCAGCGTTCTGCACCCCTGGAGTAGTACCAGTAACCCCGTACAGTACCAGTACCGTCCCAAACCTAATGGAGGCGTCCCGGGTGAGCGTGCCCCCCCTCCCCGTACAGTACCAGTACCGTCCCAAACCTAATGGAGGCGTCCCGGGTGAGCGTGCCCCCCCTCCCCGTACAGTACCAGTACCGCCCGATACTGACCTAATGGCCATCGGTTCTTGCTGGAACACTGTGCCCTTGTTGTCAGCCTTCCTAGTCACACCAACAGACAGCTCTTGCAATGCCACTGGCTTCTGCTCAGGCCAGTCCCACCCCACATCTGTCACTTCGCTTTCATCCCTGATCTCCTTCAGGTCCTCTTCTGCAAAATATACAATATGTTGTACATGGCCATTTGTACATATGGTGAGGTTACCTTGTTAAAATAAAACTAAGCTTAATGAAGAGGCCGCTCCTGGAAGGCTTCACCTTTGGCTTCATGGTCTTCTTCCTCATTCTCATCCAGCATTCCTTTCTCCTCTCTCTGCAGTACATGGAAGAGACTCGCATCTAAGTCTTCTGTTATTTAAGTCAGGCTTGACAATACGGTCGGCCCACCGTATCCACGGGTTCCATGGGAATCAACCAACCGTGGATCGAAAACATGCAAAAAAAAATAAAAAATCCAAAACACTAAAAAAAATCCAGGAAGTTTCGAAAAACTATGAATACAGAGGGACGACTGTACTGTTCTACTCTACAGAAATTCTCAGAATGATGCACATCCAAAAAAAACAAAAAAAAAAAAACAAAACCATATAACTCAATTTGTCAGTTTTCATTCAAAGTTGAGAACAAAAAAAACACGTCAGCAGAAGAATCTGAGCCGGGCCATCTGTCCTCTATTTCCCATGCACCGTATTTTGCTTTGAAGCTGCTGGAATCGTACCTTCACTCAGCGAGAGAGGGTACTCACCTTACAATCGTTCTGGTCTGCCTTGCGTGTCCTCCTCATGATTTCCTCGATTCTCTTAGAGAGGACGGCACCGTACATACAGACATCAATGCCCGATTCTGGGGACCGTGGAGCAGGTTGACCAGCTGGCCGCTTACCTTCCTCCTCTGCATGCGCTCCTGTTGGTTCTTCTGCAGGATCCTCTCTCTCTCTCGCCTCTGTCTCTCTGCCTCCTCCGTGGCTCGGGCATCTGCCTCTTCACGCTGAGGGGGATGATGATCCCACAATGACTCTCCCAAAACAACCAATTACATACAACATATGCACAGCCACAACCATGAGCAGCATTTAACAGGGATTAATAATGGCAACCAGAGGCGGAACTCTTGGTTTGGATTTGTACTTTCTGGACCGGAACTTCCCATCTTTGATGATCACCATCCACTGGTTGTGTGCTGAGGGTAAGGAAAGGTCCTGACAGTCTCAGGCGCGGGACACTCAGATCTGACGCTCACCTCCCTCTGCACCTCCACTCGCCTCTGCAGCTCCTCCGTCTCCAGCTGCTCTCTCTGCTCCTCTGCCAGGCGGGCTTGCTCCTCCTCCTCCTCCTTCCTCTCCTCGGCACGGATCCTCTCCTCCTCCAGCCGCCGGGCCCTCTCCTCCTCCGCCAAACGCCTCTCCTGCTCTTTCCTTAGCCTGTCGTGAACAGTGCACCAAACGTGGTTACTAACGACACCCCCTGCCACTGTCATTCCGTTATGGCACCAAATGTCATTAGCTGGTGGATAACAGGGTCGTTCAGAAAGCACATCCCATAGGATGACATACGTTTGTAATATTTGTGAGCCCCGTGATTCTGAATTTAAGATCAGGAAAACATGCTGTCGAAATCACAGAGCATCGACAACCCCTCCATCCATCTATTCCCTACTCCTCCCATAGCCCTCAATTTCTGGAATTACTGGATGGATCAACAGGAAACGTGAATGCAAATTAATGCATTTTTACCTGAATGCTCTGAATCCTAGTTGTGAAATAACTAATCAGGTGTAATTTCAGAGTTATTGCACATTCCACTTACATGCCAATTTGCACAATGCTTCCCCACTGATTAGATGATTACCTATATTTCATTGTGCATGACTTAATGTCCATGTCTTAAAATGTCATTTATATTGGAGTATAAATATTTAGACATATATATTTGTCATTTGCACTATGACCAACATAACAGTAATAACTGTAATAGATACACCAATGGAATAAATGAGTAACTACCATATAACATCATATAGGCCCCACTGTGATTTTTTTCTGAGACCAAATGCTTCTACTACCTAGATTGTTTTTCACTGTACACACAAGGCTGGTAAAACACAGCCCCACAGGTGCAGTGGAGTGTACCAAATCCCACACTTGTGAAGGCTAAACACTAGCACACAAACAAAAAGCTAACAAATTAGCATTTTAACTTTGGAAATAAACACTAATTAAAGATGCATATAAACAGCCCGCTACCGTGGGCTTAGGCAGTATCTACCTTTTCAGACAGTCCATTTTATCTAAGAATATTCAGATAATCTCGCTCCCCCCAGTTTCAGAATCGCTGACCTGTAACACTATCCTGGGAAGTTTGAAAAAGACACTTTCAGATTTCAGATTGCTGTGTTCACCAGATGGCGGGTGTACACCTCCCTGTACGCCAGGGGTCTCCAACTCCGGTCCTGGAGAGCGACCGTCCAGTAGGTTTTCTATCATACCCGGCTTCTGATGAGCCACACCTGTTCTCAGGTAAATACCAGGAACAGGTGTGGCTCATCAGAAGCCAAGTGGGACATAAAAAACCTACTGGATAGTAGCTCTCCAGGACCGGAGTTGGAGACCCCTGCTGTACACCCTCTGCTGCCACCCATCCCTGCCATGTCAGTTTTGGGACGATTTGTCTCAGATGCACCATGTGTGGATTTTCATTCCAGTAATCATTTGCTAAGTGGTAAAAAGATACATCAAAGATCAGAAAGAAATATCAAATAGAGTCATTCTGTTCACAAGGCCAAGCGTCTTATCTAAGACACCTTTCCCTTTGCTGCTACCATCAGGTACTGCCTCAGTGCAATTTGCCTGAAAAATTTGATCAGGTCCAGATCTTCAGCCTTACGTGTCAAGATCTATCAAATAGACATGTCACAGTAACAGGATCAAGTGTCTGAAACTGCACTTATTTTGCTATTGCCAATGCTTCAGTTTTGGGGTGATTTGATCACTTCCCGTTTGTGACCCATACAATCTGCCTAGAAAGTTTGAAAAAGATCTGTACAATACTTTTAGAGTTACTGTATTCACAAGACCAAGCTTCTCCTAAAGTTGGCAGTAATTTCCTTTGCTGCCGCACAGTGCTGCTTTTTTTGCTTGACTTTTGGGGAAATTTGTCTGACATTAAAACCTGCTGTAGATCTTCATCCAAATAATGTTTTTGTGAAACAGTAATAAGATACATAAAATACATTCACAAAGTCAAATGGCATCTGCTTTCATCCCATCCCTCTGTTCATTTATGCATGCAAAGCTTCTCTAAAGTTTGAAAAAGATCCATCAGGCACTTTTTAAGTTATTGGATTAACGATATGCAGCAACAGACCAATCCCAAAGGGATATGTATTCCTTGTTATATTATGTCCACGCGATGCTGGACATAACATATATGATATGATATAACAAACGTCTAGAATATAAACATATTTTAACATCTTCTGAAAAATATTGGATGGTTATTAAGAGACGTGAAAACCTTTGGAATTTGATTTGACTGTAAATCGCCTGGGTGAGGAACCAGACAAAGTGTGGCTCACAAGACCCCTAATGAAGAAAAAAATATTGTATTCACGGTTTCCCTTGCCCGGACGCGGGTCACCGGGCCCCCCCCCGCTGGAGCCAGGCCTGGCGGGTGGGGCTCGATGGCGAGCGGCTAGTGGCCAGGCCTGCACCCATGGGGCCTGGGCAGGCACAGCCCAAACAAGGCACGTGGGTCCCCCCTCCAATGGGCTCACCACCTATAGGAGGGGCCACAGGGGTCAGGTGCGATGCGAGTTGGGCACCTGTACATTGGGGTTTACCGCAGTGGACGAGAGGGTAGCCTCCCTTCACCTTCGGGTGGGGGGACGGGTCCTGACTGTTTGCGCTTATGCGCCAAGCGGCAGTTCAAAATACCTACCTTTTCTGGAGTCCTTGGAAGGAGTGTTGCAGAGCACTCCTCCTGGGGACTCTCTTGTTCTGCTGGGGGACTTCAATGCTCACGTGGACAATGACAGTGAGACCTGGAGTAGCGTGATTGGAAGGACGGCCCCCCTGATCTGAACCTGAGCGGTGTTCTGTTGTTAGACTTCTGTGCTCATCACGGATTGTCCATAATGAACACCATGTTCAGGCATAAGTGTGTCCATATGTGCACTTGCCACCAGGACACCCTAGGCTGCAGTTTGATGATCGCCTTTGTAGTCGTGTCATCGGACTTGCGGCCGCATGTCTTGGACACTCGGGTGAGGAGAGGGGCGGAGCTGTCAACTGATCACTACCTGGTGGTGGGTTGGCTCCGCTGGTGGGGGAGGAAGCCGGCCAGGCCTGGCAGGCCCAAGCGTATAGTGAGGGTCTACTGGGAACGTCTGGCGGAATCCCCAGTTAGGAGCTTCAACCTTCTCCTACCTCCGGCAGAACTTCTCCCATGTCCCGGGGGAGGCGGGGGACATTGAGTCCGAATGGGCCATGTTCCGCGTCTCCGTTGTGGAGCGGCTGACCGGAGCTGTGGCCGTAAGGTGCTCGGTGCCTGTCGCAGCGGCAATCCTCAAACCTGCTGGTGGACACCAGTGGTGAGGGATGCCGTCAAGCTGAAGAAGGAGTCCTATCGGGCCTTTTTGGCCTGTGGGACTCCGGAGGCAGCCGACAGCTACCGGCAGACTAAGCAGGATGCGGCTTCGGCAGTCGCTGAGGCAAAAACTCGGGTATGGGAGGAGTTTGGCGAGGCCATGGAAAACGACTTCCGGACGGCTTCGAGGCGATTCTGGTCCACCATCCGGCGGCTCAGGGCGGGAAAGCGGTGCAACATCAACACTGTTTATGGTGGGGATGGGGTGCTGCTGACTTCAACTTGGGATGTTTTGGGTCGGTGGAGGGAGTACTTTGAAGACCTCCTCAATCCCACTGACACGCCTTCCAACGTGGAAGCAGAGTCTGGGGACTTGGGGGTGGACTCCCCTATCTCAGGGGCGGAGGTTACTGAGGTGGTTAAAAAGTTCCTCAGTGGCTGGGCCACGGGGGTGGATGAGATCCGCCCGGAGTTCCTTAAGGCGCTGGATGCTGTGGGGCTGTCCTGGTTGACACGCATCTGCAGCATCGCGTGGACATCGGGGGCAGTGCCTCTGGACTGGCAGACCGGAGTGGTGGTCCCCCTCTTTAAGAAGGGGGACCAGAGGGTGTGCTCCAACTATAGGGGGATCACACTCCTCAGCCTCCCTGGTAAGGTTTATTCAACGGTTCTGGAGAGGAGGGTCCGCCGGATTGTCGAACCTCGGATTCAGGAGGAGCAGTGTGGTTTTCGCCCTGGCCGTCGAACAGTGGACCAGCTCTATACTCTCAGCAGGGTCTTGGAGGGTTCATGGGAGTTTGCCCAACCAGTCTACATGTGTTTTGTGGACTTGGAGAAGGCATTCGACCGTGTCCCTCGGGGAGTCCTGTGGGGGGTGCTCCGGGAGTATGGGGTGCCGGGCTTCCTTTTAAGGGCTGTTCGGTCCCTGTATGACCGGTGCCAGAGCTTGGTCCTCATAGGCAGCAATAAGTCGGACTCATTTCCGGTGAGGGTTGGACTCCGCCAGGGCTGCCCTTTGTCACCGATTCTGTTCATAGTTTTATGGACAGAATTTCTAGGCGTAGCCAGGGTGTTGAGGGTGTCCAGTTTGGTGACCTCAGGATTAGGTCTCTGCTTTTTGCAGGTGATGTGGTTCTGTTAGCTTCATCGGACCGTGACCTTCGGCTCTCACTGGGACAGTTCAGAGCCGAGGGTGAAGTAGCTGGGATGAGAGTCAGCACCTGCAAATCCAAGACTATTGTCCTCAGCCGGAAAAGGGTAGAATACTCTCTCTGGGTCGGGGATGGGGTCCTCCCCCAAGTGGAGGAGTTTAAGTATCTTGAGGTCTTGTTCATGAGTGAGGGAANGAAAAGGGTAGAATACTCTCTCTGGGTCGGGGATGGGGTCCTCCCCCAAGTGGAGGAGTTTAAGTATCTTGAGGTCTTGTTCATGAGTGAGGGAACAATGGAACGGGATTTCGACAGGTGGACAGCGGGTGCTGCATCGGTCTGTCATGGTGAAGAAGGAGCTGAGCCAAAAGGCAAAGCTCTCGATTTACCAGTCGATCTACGTTCCTACCCTCACCTATGGTCACGAGCTGTGGGTAGTCCCCGAAAGAACGCGAGTGCAAGCAGCCGAAATGAGTTTCCTCCGCAGGGTGCCTGGGCTCTCCCTTAGAGATAGGGTGAGAAGCTTGGTCATTCAGGAGGGACTCAGAGTAGAGCCGCTGCTCCTCCGCATCGAGAGGAGCCAGATGAGGTGGCTCGGGCATCTGATTAGGATGCCTCCTGGACGCCTCCCTGTGTGTGAGGTGTTCTGGGCATGTCCCACTGGGAGGAGGCCCCGGGGAAGACCCAGGACACGCTGGAGGGACTATGTCTCTCGACCGGCCTGGGAACACCTCGGGATTCCCCCAGAGGAGCTGGATGAAGTGGCAGGGGAGAGGGAAGTCTGGGTTTCCCTGCTGAGACTGCTGCCCCCACGAACCGACCTCTGATCAAGCAGGAGATAATGGATGGATGGATGGATGGATGTAAATCACCTGCCCCTCAGGGCCCACCACCATTGTGGTGTGGATTGGGTGTGAGTGGAAGGAGGCCTTGGCATCTAGGTATGGTCAGTCTCACCTCAATGCATAGTATTAGTTCTGGAACCAATCTCCTAGAGAGGGACTGGACTCTATTCCACTCTGGAGGTGCCCTGTGTGAGACGTGCCGGGCAGGTGTGTATTCTCATAGCCTCCCAGTTCTCTGCTTGTACTTTGCAGTTCACCCCAGTGACCAGAGGGTTGACTCACTTTCAATTATAGTTGGGGGATGGGCTCTGTCAGCTGTCTGTGCTTATGCACAGAACATCAATTCAGATTATCTGGCCTTTTTAAAGACCTTAGGTGGGGGGTTGGAAGGCACCCCCTCTGGGGACTCTGTTGTTCTACTGGAAACTTAAACACAATGAAAACAACAGTGAAACCTAGAAGGGTGTGACTGGGACAAACATCTTAGGCTGTAGCTCAAACACTCAGAGTGGTGGACACCAGCAGGGAAGGGAGTCAGCAGGCTGCAGGAGGCCTTCCGAGCTTGGATAGCTAGTGGGACTCAGAGGCAGCTGGCAGGTACCGGCAGGCCGAGCAGAATGAGACTCTGGCAGGTACCGGCAGGCCGAGCAGAATGAGACTCTGGCAGG